ATATGCAGCCTGTGTTCGTAGCAGCACTGTTTACAATCTCCAAGGCCTGGAAAGAGCCTGCGTGCCCACCAGTATGCGAGTGGTTAAAAAAGCGGTGGTACATTTTCACAATAGAATTGTGCACAGATGTAAAAGAGCAGGAACTCTTTCCCTTTGCAAAATTTGGACCTGGAGAATATTATGCAAGGCAAAATAAGCCAGTCAGAGAAAAACAAATACCATATGATCTCACTCATATGGGGACTCTAATAACAAAATAAACTGAGGAACAAAATAAAACCAGAGGCATGGACACACGGGTCAGACTGATGGATCTCAGGGGGGTGCGGGGGGAGTGCAGAGATTAGCCAAAGAACATCCATGCCTAGCCCAGGGGTACAGGCAACGTGTGGTGAACGGGGTGGGGGAAGGAAAAGGAGGGGGATGGGGGACATCTATAATAGTGTCCAAAGTAAATAAGTGAATAAATACATTTTTAAAAGGAAAAAATGTCCTTCATTGTTTTTTTTCTGAAAGAGAAAGAAAGTTCAGGTTGTAAATTACAAGTCATGCATGCTCTTTTTCCTCTTTGCTAAAATACTCTAAAGTTTTAGAGCATAAAGACAATACACGGTGTTTCAGATAACCGTCTTGATTAATAATGTACAACTTTTTGATTTTGCTGTAATGAGTCCTATCAGGGAAAAAAAGAAAAAGAAAGCCAGCCTCAGAGAGACGGAGCATCTTACTGTGTCCGGGCAGCGAGTGAGTGACACGGCTGGTGTCAAACCAGAGTGTTCTGGTTCCCAACGCCACGCTCCGTTCTTGTCGCTGTCTTAGTCTGGGCCTCATTCGTTTTGTACTTTGGGACTAAAGTGAAATAACTCACTCCTCAATAAGTATTTGGCAAACAAGGACCTCGGGATCATATGTCCCTTTCTACCATTATGTACAGACTAACTCAACCTGGTCGTGATGGCGCCATCATGTCCTGAGGCAGGTAGAGGTGGGCAGAGGGCAGGGACTAAGTGGAGAGTTGCTGGGGATGCAGAAACCACAGGAGTTTGTGGGTGACTGAGGGGCTGGGAAGGAGCAGGTGGCCAAGATGAGTCAGGATGCAGGCTTTCTGAGACCCATAATCCTTTTTTATATATAAAACTATTCATGTTTAGAGAAGCACCTGCCATTAAAAATGCTTTTTTTCTGAGGCTTTCTAGACCCTGGTTATTTATAATTTACTGGCTGTGAGCAATCGGAAGGCCGTGGCACAACAGTTAGGGCTTTGCTAAGGTGGAATGATCTTGAACTGTGTGTGCCGTGAGGCAGGTGTACAGGAAGGAAGCGCCACCTGCCTTCAAAGGTCCAGCCTGTTCATCTCACTGCATTAAAAAATTACAAAATGACTCCTAGGAAGGTCTGAAATGTCATTTACATTCTTCACTTTTATTTACTCCTTTCTTCTATGGTGTAGTAGTTCTTTGTCCCCCCCCCCTTTTTTTTTTTGGTCCCTCCAGCACCTGCCTTGTTCTGAGAACTGCCGCTGGTTCACTTGAACCATGTGGTTCCAACAGGAACTGTCCTTACAGCTGACTGGTCCTGGGTGGATTCTTGGTCTTCACAGCCAATCAAAGACTTCTCAGGATTTTTGCGCTTATAAGCAGAGAAAGCTTGAGGAAAACCTTGCCAGTGGTGACTCTTGACCTCTCCATGGCCACATTTCCTGCCTTTGGAGATGACAGTGAAGAAGGCTGGTGGTGAGAACCGTAACAGGGAGATGGACGGAGCCCTGGTGCCGTGTGTGTCCCTGGGTCCCCTGTTCAAGGAAACCACTGCACCTGTCTTTTCCTAAGTTTGGCTGTCCACCCAGTCCTTGCATTCTGTTCTCTAATACACCCCCTTTCTGTCATGTAAGGTTCTGTCATTTCAATCAAGAGTCCCAACTCAGCCCTGGCCCGTGTGGCTCAGTCGGTTGGGTTGTTGTTGTCCCACCCTGTAAACCAAAAGTGGCAGGTTTGATTCCCAGTCAGGGCACATGCCTCGGCTGTGAGTTTGGTCCCCAGTCGGAGCCTGTGGGAGAGGCAATTGATGCTGTTTTCTCCCTCCCGTCCTGTGTCTCTAAAATCAGTAAGCATGTCCTCTGGCGAGGATTTGAAGAAAAAGTCCCGACTAATAAGGGAGGAAGTTTTGTGCGTAGTGCTGTTGCCACCTTTGGGGTTCAGGAAGGTTTTAGGGTCGGTCCCTTGCAGGTATTGGGGTCCACTATGTGTTCTTCAAGCACTGGGGGGCTGGATTTTGCTTCTAATTTTACTGACTCTCCTTTAAATAAAACATTTGTTGAGTGGTGAAGACCTTTGTTAGCCTCAGCTGTGCCAAACCCTACTCAAGTAATTTGGATGCTGGCTTAGTTCTCCCGTGATTACTACAGAGCTGAGGAAAAGACTGGCCAAGTCTCGAAATGTGCCTGTTAAGTTTCTGAGATGAATAGGACCATCATCATCATTTGGGTTCAGAGCGAGCAGAGGGAGCAAAGTGGTCTGAAGTGGTAGATGTCAAGGGTCAAACCCAGTGGGAGGAAGGCAGTGGGGAGGCCTGGCTCCTGACCTGTCTAGGCATCTCTTTCATGACCGCCCTTTCCTGCCCTCGATCCGGGACACTTCCACTCTGCCTGGCCTGACTGGGCAGGTCACCCTGACCGACAGTTAGGTCATATTGTCAGCATTAAAGAAACTTTTTTAAAGTATAGTGTTTTGTCCTGGCTGGTGTAGCTCAGTGGATTGAGCACAGACCTACAAACTAAAGGGTTATTGGCTCAATTCCCACTTGGGGCACAGGCCTCGGTTGCGGGCCAGGTTCCCCAGTAGGGGGCATGTGAGAGGCAACCACACATTGATGTTTCTCTCCTTCTCTTTCTCCTTCCAGTCCCGTGTCTCTAAAGATAAATAAATAAAAATAAAAAAATAGTATTCTGATTTTTATTGTTTACGGATATAAATGTTTTATGTTACCTATCTGAGCTTCCTCTTTCAGTTCCTGCACTATGTAAAAATAGTGGTTTGATTTTATATCTTTCTCATTGTATGCAGTATGTTTTGGTTTTGAAGAGTAACCTAAAGTCATTAAAATTTTTTATTGGAAAGCACATCAAAGCATAAACACCAGGAAAAAAAAATCACCCTTGATTGTACAACTTGAAGCCAGAAGCATTCACATTTGGGCAGATTTCGCTGTGGTATCTTTGGGGAGTATTTTCCAAGCTTGACTTGGCCACCGGCCAGACATCTGTCCCAGGCTCTTTGACCTCCTGTGCTTCACCACTCCTTTCATAGAAGTTGCTTAATCGGCCCTGCCCTCCCATAGTAAAAATTAAAGCCAGCTGCGTGAGGACTTCAGTAACTGGAGCGGGTGACTGGCTATGAGCATCCTGACAGGGGAGGAATGGTTCGGGGGAAGGAGAGGCACCTGGCAGGGAGGCATTTCAGCTGGGCAGTGGCCCAGACGACAGGTAGAAACATCCCCGTAGACACAGCCCCGTAGAAACATCCCAGAGCAGCCAGTGCAGACACTGAGCTCTTTTCTGACTGTTCTCCGAGCTGCCCAGAGCTGCAGGCCATGTCCCACAGGAACCAGCTTCCTCCTTGTTATGCTAGGCCTCCGGGGGTCATGCTTTAAAAAAAAAATTGTTCTCTTCCTAATTGTTTTGAACAGGAAGGCATTCATGTGATTCACAGTATATCCATGCATCTTAGAGAGCTAAAGTCCCCCTCCCTGCCCCTTCCTCTGCTACCCTGTTTTCACCCACTGACAGTCACTTCAGGTCATCAGCTTTTAGTAGTTGTGTGTATTCCTCTACAGTTTACTTATGAATATTCAAGCAAATACAGGTATATTCTGTAGTCTTGTTTTTCCCTCCTTGTAATCAAAAGGATGCCTTGTATACACAGTTTCTACATCTTGTTGGATTGTTTCTTTCCCACTTAATATATTTTGGAAACTTTGTTGTTAGTCAATATCTGTGTACATCCCTGTGTTCATTAAAAAAAAACCTTCTCTTTTCTCTCTTTTTAAACCCTTACCTGAGGATATGTTCATTTGATTTTAGAGAGAGGAAGGGCAAGAGAGACCAGGAGAGAGGGAGAAACAATTGATGCAAGAAAAAAATATCCATCAGTTGCTCCCTGTTCATGCCCACCCTGAACCTGCCCGGATGGAGCCCGCGACCTTTCGGTGTCTGGGGGTGGTGCTCCACCCAGCTGAGCCACCCAGCCAGGGCCGTCTCGGAGACTTTTAAACATATCTGTGCATTGAAAGCTGCCTCATGCACTTTTAAACTTTTCAAAATACTCCAGTATATGTATGTATATATGTAGCATGATTTCTTTAACTAGTCCTCTATTCAAGAGTATTTGAGTTCTTTCCAGTTTTTTGTTATTTTGAATAATGCTGCAAAGAGTAACTTTGTATATATGTTATTTCTTAAGTATCACAGTATAAATTCCGGAAGTTTAGTTACTGGGTCAGAGAAGATTTTTAGTTCTAATTTTGATCTCTGTGCCTGAGTTCTTTCCACAGGGGGTTGTGTTCATTTATACTTCCACCCAGAAGGAACGAGAACACTTGCTTCTCTTGGGAATTATAACATACATCTTACATGTTGCTTTGAATTGTTCTAAAGTTGTTTTAATTTGGAAGTTGTCCTTGCAATTAGAAGGCAAATTTATGGAGAGCAAGGGCCAACCACTTTACTGCTTTTGAATTCTCTGCATTTATGAATAATAGAACATGGCACCCTAGGAGCACAGTCGATGTATTTCCGATGCAATTTGGGGGAATAAGCCAATTAAACCGTAGTGATAAAAAGTCGTTATACTTGGTTAGAGTTCTACGGAACCGATTTCTCCCCTGAGGTGGATATGAGGAGGCCCTGTGTCAAGCAGCTGTGGAGTGAGTGCTGAGATGAGGCGCTGCGACCAGGCCGGCTCGGCTCTCCCGCCCACGCGTGGCTTCTCTCCACTTCCGTCCGGTGACTCTGCGTCAGCAGGTCCTGTCACCTGCCTGTCCCGTCACTTCTTTTCCGCAGCATGTGCCAGCACCTGCCCTGTGGTGGGTAGGGGAACAAAGAACTGCTTTAAACTTCTCTGCCACGTATGTAAACATTCCGTCACTGTAAGTTAGTTTGCCTATATCCTAGTAGCAAGACATGGACTAATTGCGGTTTTGTTCTCTCAGTTTCTACTGAAATGTCAACTTAGAAATGTCCTTTAAAGGGACCTTGGTAGAGGTTGCTGGAAATAATGGATTTAGTGAAATACAAGTAAAAGCAGGAAGCAGGTGACTTAGAAAGACATTTTTGTCCAGTGCTGTATTAGCGAGGATTCTCATGCGAAGCAGAACCAGTAGATATGTACATAGACATATACATATGTGTGTGTGTATGTTCTATGAATACATACATGCAGTCCCCAACTAATGATGGTTTGACTTAGGATTTTTTTGTCCTAAGTCATAATTAATTTTTTTTTTTTTTTTTTTGTGAGAAGGCACGGATATCCACCTATGCCTCCATCTTGGCGGAAGTCCTGATTTTATTTTATTTTATTTTTTTAATATTTTATTTATTTATCTTTAGAGGGGAAAGGAAGGAGAGAGGGAGAGAAACATCAATGTATTGGTTGCCTTTCATGCATCCCCTGCTGGGAACTGTCCTGTAGGGAACCGGCCTGCAACCCCGGTATGTGCCCTGACTGGGAATCGAACTGCGATTGTCTGGTTCACAGACCCGCGCTCAATCCACTGAGCTACACCAGCCAGGGCCTCATAATTAAAATTTTGACCAATTTTTACAATTTAACCTTTACCCAGCGAGCCATATGTGGTACCATGTTCTCACATGATGCTGGGCAAGTGACCTTGAGATGCTTTTGCCCAACAGGAGGCCAATGTAAGTGTTCTGAGCAAATTTAAGGTAGAATAGGCTCAGCTATGATGTTTGGCAGGTCAGGGGCATGAAATGCATTTTTGACTTGTGATATTTTCAACTTGCAATGGGTTTATTGGGATGTCACCCTGCCCTAAGTCGGGGAGCATCTGTACATACATATATGTAAAGAGATTTACTATATGTAAGTCTTGACTTGTGCGGTTGTGGAGGTTGAGAAGTCCTAAGGTCTGCAGCCAGAGACCCAGGAGAGCTGATGGCCCCAGATCCTATAGGCCTGAGACCACAAAAGAGTCATTGTTTCAGTCTGAGTCTGCAGGCAGGAGAAAGACCAGAATGCCAGCTCAGGGCGGGCAGAAGACTTCTCTGTTACTCAGCTGTTTTGTTATATTCAGGCCTTCACCTGATGGATGAGGCCCACCCACGCAGGGGAGGGCAATCTGCTTTACTTAGTCTACAGATTCAAATGTGATCTCATCCAAAAAGACCCTCAAAGACATATCCGGAATCGTTTGACCAAATATCTGGGTCCTATGTCCCCTTGACCCAGTCAAATTAACACATAAAATTAACCATCACAAGTGCCTCCTTCTCTGTATTATTTTGGTATTTAATGGTGTTCAGTTCCCTTCAACTTTCAGAAATGTAAACCTGGAGAGGACAGTGTGAGAGCAAATCCTTAATTCTTTTCCTGACAGCGCTGCAGCTCCCGCTTCAGTGTCGGTTGGGTTCTTTGCTCAGACTCGCCTGACGTTAGCAGCCGAGGTGGCACAGGAGTCGTGTCACTCAAGTTCTTCTTCCCACAGGGAACCGCAGGGGCCTGGGGGCTCTGGGAGTGGTTTGTATGTGACGTGCGGGCCTCCTGTGCGACAGTGACTTTTCAGAGAACAGAATTCAGAGCGTTAGGACCTGGGTTCCTCCTGCTTTTCCAACACGTAGTTTTTACATAGTATTGGGGGAAAGCGCTAAAAGTCTAAAATCAGGAACTATTCTGATTAAGAATAGTTCTGATTCTGAACGAAGCTGACATGTAGCCTTATTCAGATTCGTAGGAGCTTTACTAGGAGAAACTTAACACACACGAGCAAAGCAGCTACTTGGTCCCAGTGGTGGCCTCTGGGAGTAGAGCCACACCCTCCCAGGACAGGGTTTCTGTTTTATCGGGGTTAAAAGTAAAACCATGTGCTGGGGAGTCACGTACACCACCAGAAAGAAAACAATGCCTTTCTGAGTTAGCAGATAACATCAGGCAGTTACCCACACTCCATACTTTCGTTAATCTCCTTCCTGAGGGCACGATGTTTATCTGCAGATAGCATTCGGCTCTCTGGGTAGTCAGCCAAGCCTGGGGCTTCAGGGAGTCCAACAGTCACAAAGGTTAAGCAGAATCCTAGATTTCGCAGATGAGTTTGCTGCTGGAGCTGTGTCTCTAACTTTCCCTAGATGCACTTACTGACGTTTTCCTCCTGTAAGTAGCTTGGTGGAGGTGGAGCTTGTCAAAGTGGCTTTCCTTATCTTCTGGTTTTCTTCAGGCAGATCAGATTGGTCCCTCTTGGACCGTGGTAAAGACTGTCTGGTTCTCAAAATGTAGTGCCTGGTCCAGCAGCCTCAGCATCACCTGGGAAATGGTCAGAACGAGAGAAATCTCAGTACCACCCACAAGCCTACTGAATCAGAACCTCCAGTGGTGGGACCCAGAAATCTGCATTATTACAAGCTTCCTGGGTGACTCTGATGCCTTCTCAAAACTTGAGAACCATGGCTCTAGTCCCTTTGCAGTTAAGATGCTTGGTGGTGATGCATTATCTTGAAATTGAGCAAAAAGCGAAAAAGGCAGCAAACAGTAATCCCAGAGAATGTTGATGTCCTTTAGTGGTGTATTCAAGAAGCTCAGAACTAGACTGCCGAGTTCCTGAAACTCAGGTTGTTCTGAGCTTCAACTGCTGAGACGTGGAGGAGGCAGGAGAGACTGGTGCAAGTCAACTGCTACTGCAGTTGTGCCCTTAAGCATTTTCCTACCTGTGTTGGCTGTCAGGGTTTCTCAAGGTTAGGCCAGAGGAGCTCGTGAAGTGTGACAGTGTTTGAACCCACTCATTGCCAGTGCCAGTGACCAGAGGACTTACTGCTTCCTTGGCTCTGTTTTTTTAAAAAAATCTTCGGGGGGCTTCTGCTCACCTGCATGGAGTCCGCCTTGGAGGAAATCATGTGGAGAAAGTTATTTTTCACGTTTTTCCTTCTCAGATTTAAGTAAGGGGAGACAGATTTACTCAAGAAGGACAGATGTGCCTGTTATTGGCAATAACAACAATTTGGTGTTGTGATATCCTTTAAAAATATGGGTGACAGTGTTTCCCTGCAAATCCAAAGACTCTGTCTGTATTAGCAAAGTCACAATAAGATTGTTTAAAACTGGATCAGGTGTCTCTTCATGTTGCTCCCTACATTTACCCTTTTTTTACGCTGTAAAAATCGTCTGTCCACTTGTTCGCTTTCTGATTAGATGATAAACTCTTGGCGGGCAGAGATTTTTTTTTTGTCTTGCTCATTTGTCTTGCTCCACAATGCTTCTCACATAGTACGTGTTCAGTAAATGGTTGTTGAGTGAACGAATTTTGCGAACCCTTCAATGTGTCAGGGCCTATTCCTGGTGCTGGCTGTACAAAAGCAAACGAGGCAGGCCCCGCCAGCAAGGTATTACAGTCTTTTAGAAGAGAGAGACGTAGTACGTACTCTATAGTGTAAGGACAACTTCAAAGAGGAACTGATGTCAGCGAGATTATGAAGGACGATTTGAAGTTTGCCAGGAAGACAAGCTGAAGAGGGAAGGAGTGTAGAAGAAAGGGCATGTTGGAAACAGGCACCAGCGTGTGCCAAGATGCGAAGTTGTGAAACAGCACACGCTGTTCCAAGAACTGGAGGAAGCCGGCATTACTGGGAAACTGTCAGCTGTGTGCTCGTGGAGGCGAGAAAGGGAGGGGATGCACTTGGAGTTGAGGCCGGGTTAAGGGGCTCAGGAATTATCATAGAAACAGTGGGGATTTGCGAAAGGGATTTAACCAAGGGGGTATGAGGTGGCAGCAGGAAGGATGAAGTGGTCAGGGAAGGTGAGGGTTGACAGGGCCCACACTGGGGCAGTGGTGGCCACAGGACTGTCAGTATTCGTAGACCCAGCCGAGTGCTGTGGAGAAGCAGGACGCTGAGGGGTTGAAGGTGACTGTGTGGGTGGCAGTGCTGCCCCATAGCCCAGATTGTTTAAACAAATGCAGAGCAGGTGTAGGAGGAGACAGTGGGTTGATTTCAGACATACTGAGTTAATAAAACTGCAGTATTTTGGCAGAAAGGTCCAGAAAGCAACTGGACATTCTGGGGGCTCAGAGAGAGGCCACAGCTCCAGAAAAGAGGAGGCCTGGCTGAGCCCCCGGACATCAGCACCGAGGGGACGGAGGACGCAGAGTCCTGGGGCCCGGCAGCTCTTCTCAAGTCTGCGTGCCTCAGAATCGCTGGAGAGCAGCTTGAAACAGGGATCAGGCCCCCACCCACAGAGATTCTGATTCTGTGGGTCTGGGGTGGGCTGAGAATTGCACTTCAGATGCACCGCCATGCATGCTGATGCTGCTGGCCCATGGCCACACTCTGGGTGACACCAGCATAGGCCAGAGAGTGGTTGCTGGAGGGTAGTTTGCAGCTTTTGCGGGTGTAAAGCCCTTGGGCACGTGTACAGGTGGGGGTGAAGGGGGAAGCAGACACATGCAGAACCTGGACGTCCTGGAGAGAAAAGGGATGATTAGCGAAGGCAATGCACAGCCAAGGTGAGAGGACCAGTGCAAAGGGACACAGGGCCCAGGGTGGTCACGGTAGAAATATTAAAGGGCTGTAGAGTCTGCTTTAAAAGCCAAAGCCCACCCTGGCCGGTGTGGCTTAGCAGGTCAGAAGGGCGTCAGTCCCATTCCTGGCCCCGGGGCACATGGTTGCTGGGCTGCGGACCAGGTGCCCAGTTGGGGGCCTAAGGAAGCAACAGAGGCAACTGGCCCACGTTTCTCTCATATACCGAGATGTCTCTCTCTCTCACATTGATGTTTCTCTCCCTTTCTTTCTCCCTCCCTTTCCCTCTCTGTAAAATAAATGAATAAAATCTTAAAAAATAAAACTCAACAAAAGTC